TCTCTCTCTCTCTCTCTCTCTCTCTCTCTCTCTCTCTCTCGCTCTCGCTCTCTCTCTCTCTCGCTCGCTCTCGCTCGCTCGCTCGTTCACGCTCCAACAAAAGTTGAACGGTTTGTTTTGTCGCGATTTCTCTTTTTTTCTTCTTTTGTTTCCATTTTTTTTCTTTTGTTTCTTTCGTTTTCTTTTTTGGCTTATTTTTGTCAGAAGTACGTGCGAGTGACCGATAGCGAAGAAGTACCGAGGGGGAATGATGAAAAGAACTCTGAAAAAAAAAAAAAGAACTACAGTTCATTTTCTTCTCTTTTTTGTCCCCCCTCTTTCCGCAGAGGTCTGGGAAGGCAGCACCCGGTAGTCTGAGCCTCGACACGGCTTGGCATACTGGTCGGCCAAGGCTCGGACCCGATAGCGGGGCCAAGTACTGGTGGTTTAATCTGGAGAGGACGGCCTTTCAGGTCTTTTATATTTAGCATTGTAGTATGACTGTGGGAACCCCGTAGCAGTCAGCCCGTGTTCAAGCCTCCAATGAGGGAACATGGGGGGCCTGCACTCTACTTGCAGGTGGGCGATACCGGCCAGGGGTCAGCCGGTAGCCTCAGGACCGAGCTTCTTCGATGGGTCAGTGACTGTGCCTCCCCTCCAGTCCCCTCCGCCTACAAACATTAGCAGTCACTGCTCAATGCCACTCGGGGGCACCAAGGGGCTCTCTCTAGGTGGCAGCCGCCAAGCTTGAGCAGGAAGGTACATGAGCCGAATGGGGATTGATCCCGAGACCTCCTGAATACCAGCCTTACCAGCAGCTGATCGACGGGGAGCCCCTGATACACAACCGAGATTCTGCTTCCTCAGGAAAGGGAAAAAAGAAAAAGTTAAAAAATGAATAGCAAGCTACTCAGGCCTTGTCGTACCACCTCACGCAAGGTTAGAGGTACAGTCAGATGCATTGTGGACAGCTGCGTGAGAATGCCTTGAAAAGAAGGGGGCTGACAAAGCAATAGGGAGTCCCCCCACTACTCTCGACATGCGCAAAAGACACAAATCATGCTGTGTATCTTTCCATGTTCTAGCGGAAAATTGATTCCCATTTTGCACGAGGCCCATAGATTGCTCCACCCGCCTCTCGCGTGGAGTCACATGAGAAACAGAAGACATTCTTCTTCCAAAAAAAAAAACTTGCGATGTATCTACCCATGTTCTACAGGACTATTCATTCTCCTTTTGCACATTTGGTGAGTAGTGGAGCGAGGCCCTAGATCTCTATAGCTCTTTTTTTTACTCCTTTTTTAGTAAGCCCTGCCAAGAAGGCAGGGCAGTCCCTTCTCTTTTTTGAGTACTTCATAGCAGTAAACAGATGAATGCTTCCCATATTTATGGGGAGATGCAGTTCAAACTAAAAGAAAAACAAAAGCAGAAACCCCCAGACCCAAACCGTCCACCCCTATTTTGAAACGGGAAAAAACGCCACCCCTCAAACGGGAAACTGTGGATGGCACCTTATGCTAAATTTGGAACAATTTGGACAAGCTAACCTGCCCTATGACCGGTCTTAGCGACCACTGCGACTGGACCCTTTTTCTGCTTTCGGAAACCCCAAACGGACCCATTCTAGCAACTCTGTACTGCACGACCTTACCCAAAATGGAAAGCACACGAAACGACGAAATGCAACCCACACAAGGCGCAGCCTCACAACAGCAAAAGGACAAAACTGAGAATACCCAAAAAAAGAAAAACCCCGTGCACGAAACGACAAAACGGGGGACACCCCCCAAAAAAAACAACCGCACCGCGAGGTGCTCGGAATTCGAGCTGCTCGCCACTGCACTGGCAGTAGAAAACGAAGCAAGAAAAAGCAAACGCATCCACAGCAACAGGAACAGCCAGCGAGGCAAATACGGAACACCGCGGGACATCTTGGGCCCACCAGGAAGCGTCTTCCAAGACCCGCTCCACAATTTAGGAGTTAGGGTCTCGTTAGACACTCCTAAAAATGCCAGTTTTTATGAATGCAGTGCCATCACACGCATTCCTTTTTTTTTTTTTTTTTTTCACACGCATTCCTAAGAGTTACTTCCTGAAAAAAACACCCGCTACCCAAGAGATAGACCACTGGATCCCCCGATCGGCATCAAGCAGAGTCTGCTATGTTCGTAGGGGACGGGCCTGAGGGGAGGCACGGGGGATTGGTCCGCTTTATCCCTGGTGCTACCGGCCGTCCCCTGGCCGGTATCCTGCAGGCTCGAGGGGCCGTAAAAACACGGCTCTGGTATGCTACGGGTTTCCCCGTATGCCTATAGGTAAGAGTAGTGGTAGGTAGGTAGTGTGAGGAAAAAAATGAGAGAAGAGTATAGTTA